CAAGGTCCATTGATTGTTGAACGCTACGACGACAAAGAATTCGTTAACAATCTACTGCGGAAACTTGGCGGGTTTACTATGCCACGAGCATGGACCCTAAACGAGAGCCAAGACACTCAAGGGGTTGTCGAGAAGCTTAACCTCCCTTTCCCGATTGTCGCAAAGCCTATACGTGGCCGTGGCAGCCATGGCGTTCGTGTCTGTCGCAGCCTGAAGGAACTCATTGAACATGCACAGGCCTTGTTTAAAGAGTCGCCCTCTATCATGCTGGAAGAATATCTTGCCGGCGAAGAAGCGACTGTTACAGTTATGCCGCCAATCTCTAGAGGAGGTGGATACTGGGCATTGCCTGTTGTGACGCGTTTCAACCACATCAATGGCGTTGCTCCCTACAATGGCGCCGTCGCAGTCACAGCAAACTCAAGGGCGATAACCGCCGCGGAGGCCAGCCAGGCAGCATACAAACAGGTGGCAGAGGAATGCGAAAGTGTGGCACGAGAGTTGGCGGTGACAGCGCCGATTCGAATTGATGTCCGCAGATTCAAGGACTCGGCCGACTCCAAGTTTGCCTTATTTGACGTGAACATGAAACCGGTTTGTCCTGTCCTTCCCGAAGCGCTCAAAAAAAGGTGGCTAAATAAAAACATTTGTTTGCAGAACATGACGGGTCCTGGTCGGCCTAGGCGCGAGGATCAAGCAAGTCTCACCTTGTTGGCTGCAGAGGCCCTGGGCTGGGACTACCAAGAGCTGCTGAGGCGCATTCTGGATACATCGTCCACGCTGAGGACGCTCAGAGACCTAAGGCCTCGAGAAATGGTGTGAATTGATGCGCAAATAGTCATTGGTAGTGGGAGGTTAAAGGTTGTTTCGCGGTGGCTTACTTACTGAGCTGCACGCAACTGGAGGAATAGACAATTATGGCGCGTATAGTTGCCTCGGTCGGGCCTTTTCCCACTGCGTCGGGCACTCGGGGCCATAAAATTCCGACAAAAGATGCTGCATGCTACTAAGGTAAGGTAGGTAGGTATTTGCTTTGCCTTGGGGTTTGTCCTGGGTCGGAATGAGTTGTTCTCGACTCGAATTGGCTTCGTCCCTCCCGTTGTCTTTTGTAATCGTCGATGCACGGTCTCAATGTGCCCTGGCTTCCTTGTCTCGCCCCGTCGCTTTTTCCCGTGACCGCTTAACGTTAACCCCGGATTTGGCCTGCATACATCAAGTCAAGTAACCTCTCTCGGGGCTCTCTTCTCGCCTTGCCTCGCCTCTAACTTTCTGCTTCGTCCCCCCGTAAGGTCCCTACGTTGCCTTGCAGTAGATGCGCCTGGGATATAGTCTGCCCGCCGCTCCACCAACTCCGCGTTCACACTCCACCCTTTTTGCTGTCTTGGGACGAGTCATTCTTCGCGTTCGCATTGACCTCTCCGACACGCCCTGCTCCTTCGCGACAGCCCAGTACCTTCGATAGATCCCGAGACCACGCTCCAAAACTGGCCTTTGTGCTATTGCTCCTGATGTACTAATGGAGGATGACGAGTATACGACTAGCAAAATGGAGGAAATCAAGCTTGAGGAGGGCACAAACGGCGCGCAGGTGAAACAGGAGGAGAGGACTCCCATGTCTGTCACGAATGGCGGCCAGGAAGAATCCCGATCGCCGAGCGCTTCTCATGATGGCCTCAAGTCGCGCAGCGGGAGCGCAGACACACCGAGCTCAAGCAGGCCCTCAAAGCTCTCTCGAAAGGCTTCTCAAAAGTTGGCAGCCAGCCGCGAACCCGTCCTTTTCGACCACCTCCCCGACATGACCGCCGAATCTTGTAATTTCTTTCAGCTCATTCCCGATTGCCTATACGGCTCAAAGCACCTTGGATCTACAGATAACGACGCCTTGGACTGCGAGTGTCGGGAAGAATGGCGTACGTTGCCCATCCTGATCCCCTGTGGTCGGGTGCCATGCTAACTTTTCTCTACAGACAATGGCGAAAATATTGCATGTGGCGAGGACTCGGACTGCATTAATCGAGCGACAAAAATGGAATGTAGCGCTGAGGCTGGAAATTGTGCAGGGGGCTGCCAGAATCAGCGGTTCCAGCGCAAGCAGTACGCCAACGTTTCTGTCATCAAGACCGAAAAAAAGGGCTTCGGCCTCCGCGCCGACGCTGATCTACAAGCCAATGACTTCGTCTTTGAGTACATTGGCGAAGTCATCAATGAGCCTACCTTTCGGCGTCGAATGATCCAGTACGACGAAGAGGGTATCAAGCATTTTTACTTCATGTCGCTAAACAAGAGCGAGTTTGTGGACGCAACAAAAAAGGGCAACTATGGTCGCTTCTGCAACCACTCTTGCAACCCCAACTGCTATGTTGATAAGTGGGTGGTTGGCGACAAACTCCGAATGGGCATTTTTGCCTCGCGCAAAATCCAATCCGGAGAAGAGTTGGTGTTTAACTACAATGTTGACCGATATGGTGCCGACCCCCAACCCTGCTACTGCGGGGAAGCCAATTGCGTGGGATTCATTGGAGGCAAAACACAGACTGAGCGAGCTACCAAATTGCCTGTCGCGACTGTCGAGGCTTTGGGTATTGATGGAGGTGACGGTTGGGATACTTCCGTGGCAAAGAAGCCTCGGAAGAAGAAGCCAGATGAGGACGATGAGGAATATGTCAACAGTATACCTTCGCGCAGTCTCAACGAGGACGACGCGCGAAAGGTCATGGCTGCTCTTATGCAATGCAAAGAGAAATGGATTGCCGTGAAATTACTGGACCGTATCCTGCGGTGCGACGAGGAGCGCGTCATCCACTGTGTTATGCGTATGCACGCTTACCAAATTCTCAAAACAACACTCAACACCTTTATCGAGGACCACAACGTCGTCCTTCAGGTTTTGGACATCCTCGACAAGTTCCCACGCTTGACAAGAAATAAGATCCAGGACTCCAAAATCGAGGCCACCATCGAGGGTCTGACACGATCCGAGCACCAAGACGTGGCTTCAAAGTCAAAATACCTTCTCGACGAGTGGAGTAAGTTAGAGGTGGCGTACCGAATCAGACGACGCAAGTTCGACCCCAACGCACCAGCTGCAAACTCATTTGAGGAGCGACGTGGTGCAGGTCGGGACGAGGAGGCAGCGCAATCTTCAAAGACAGCGTCGCCACAGACCATTGACGCGCCGAAAGGCCCTCGAAACAGCATGCCGCAAAGGAACGTCGCGTTTTTCCAGAACGGCGGACGCCCTCGCAGGCCCCCATTCAATGGTGGGCTTCCTCAAGGATGGTTCACCGCCAAGGATGCTGCAGGAAACACTTATTTCTATAACAAGCAAGGCACCACAACATGGCAGCGACCTACCCAGCCTGTAGCAGAGCCTGCTGTCAAAGCACCGTCCAAAGCTATGAAGGAGCAATTGGCGATCCAAAGTATTATCAACCAGGTTACTGAGAGGGGAACACCTAAACATACTTCAGTTTCGACCCCCAAGACGGCAGATACGCCACCCAAGGAGGTGAAGGAGGAGAAATGGCGATCTCTTCCAGTCGAAAAACAGATGAAGATATACGAAAACACGGTTGGTTGCATTCAAAACCTGCCAAGGACTTTACTGACAGATTGCTAGGTGTTCCCCCACATCAAACATGTCCTCGACAAATTCCATCACAAACTTCCTAAGGAGGAGCTAAAGCGTTTTGGTAAGGAGATAGCTAAGAAGCTGGTCTCATCCGACTATAAGAACAACCGGGTCGGCGACCCCAATGCACCCCTAAGTGAAAAGCAAGCGAGGAAAGTGAAGCAGTATGTCAAGGATTTCTTAGACCGTGCTGTTAAGAAATTCGGTGATCAGCAGAAACCAAGGGCGGGCGACAGCACAGATACCCAGATGAAAGGTGACCGAGGCCCCAGTGCTGCAGGAAGCAGTACTGGCTCTGTCGTTGGTGGGCTTGAGGGTACATCGTTGGTCAATGTTAATGGGACTCCAGCTGATGGGCTTGATGCTGCCACGGCATCGGATAATGAGGGCAGTGGTTCTCTGGGAAGCCCTGAGCGTAAGAGGAAGAGGGAGTCGGAAGTAGAGGGTCCGCTCTCGATATCTCCGTCTGATGGGCCAAACATGAAGAGGTTAAGAGAGGATGAGTTGGATGCGCCCAGCCCTCCTCCACCACCACCGCCTCCTCCGCAATCAGCCATGGAAGGTGTCGTTAATGCTGAACAGCAGGCTCTTCGTGAGCAGGAGGAGGCATTAATGAGGGAGAATGAGGAGGCACAAAGGCTTGAAGACGAGGCCAACCATACGAAGGATCTGGAGGACGCCACTAGAGGCGCTGAAAAAGATTTACTGGATGTTTCCAACGAGCTGTCTCGCCTGAATCACGAGGCTAGAGGAAGTGGGTCGCGGAAGACGTCAGTTTAAAGCACGAGCAAGAGGGTTGCAGAACAGGATCTGCTGAGCCCCCAGCACTGCAGTCTACGGATAGGAGCACTAATGGAGCTTGGTTGGGACATAATCACACTTGCATTTCGGGAGTTAAAGGGCCAATACCAGGCGCACTGTACCATCACTATATAAACGGCGAACAGCCTGTATATTTTGGACCCTGTGTTCAATGGGCAATCTGGGGGGGCAGCGTCGGCCGCATATTCTATTGGGCTTGCTACTCGAACATCTGAGTGGCAGAGGCATTTCTTGGCGTTGGGGGTTGTCTTGATCCCTGATATTAATATCATACCGTTCTGGCTTCTGAGAGTCGTGCTTTATCATGGATCGATCATTGGCGTTCAGGCGCAAGCAATCCATCCTGTCGGTCATCTGGTACATGAACATCTGCTTGGGAAATAAACATGGTGGGAAAGCTCGGAGTCGAGATACCTTTGGCAATATGCCGATTAAATGAAGTCCCATGTTTTCGGAACTCAATTCCGTTTCTCGGCATTTCTAATTTTGCTGTCCCATAACACCAGACTCCAATTATACTGTTTCTATTCGTGTCGCAACATCTCGATCAATCCTCATCATCAGATGAATCATCGCCCTTCCGCCTCTTCTTTCCGACCACCGGGGCGATATCTTCTTTCCTTTTGAACACAAAGCTCCTTGATGCCCTCTCCTCACCCCTCCATCCACTTTCGCTCACTTCACCCTTCGAGTTTCTCACGACGCCCAGCGTTCGTGCATGTTTATACCCAGGGTATGCGCGAGCCTGGAATCGAAAACTGCGCTCAACTTGCAAACCAGCATGACGAGCGAGATCTCGGACATTCCAGAGGGTGTATGGCTCGCCCTCGAATAGTGTGATTACAATGGCAGCGTCGGAGGCAAGCGCCGGAATTGCACGCTCGAAGAAGGATACGAGAAGGGATTGGTTATGGCGAACTTGGCGATTCACGTCAGTGGACTTTCCGCCGACGTGAGGAAAATTGAATACGATGCGGTCAAAGCGAGCGCGTATGAGTGAATTAGGAAGTTTAGTAGCATCGATGTTGTAGAGGAGCTTGTTGTTGGGAGTGAGTTTTCGCTTAGGTTTTGGTGGTGCGTTGGGATCGTCTGAGTCGTAGTAGTCGTAGTAGTCGTCTTCCTCGCTGTCGCTTTCGCCATTGGTGTCCTCGACCTCGTTCTGGTTACCTTGGCTAGTTTCGCCTGCTTCTGATTCTTCGGCAGATGTCTCTTTGTCTTCTTTATTGGCCTCGTTGGGCTTGAGAGCATCACCGCGGATTACGGCGATGTTGTCCTCAACGTGGGGGTACTTGGACAGTAATTCCTCGGCATCCTTCTCCAGAACCGTAGCAGTAACATTTGCACAGCCATGATGCTGAATTATAGACGCAGCGAAACTCAAATCGCCTTCACCCACAAGCAGTATGCGGTGGTGAGGCTCGAATGGTATCGTTGGCTCATCATCACTCTGATGCTGTTGTTTGCCTTTGCCCTTCTTCGCGGGGCCATTGGGCGGTTTCTTCTGGTCGGATTTGTTCTTCTGTGGGAGTTTCTTTGGACGCGCATTGGGCGTATTCTGATGCGACAGCTTCCGTTTCTTGCCCATGATGATTTCGGAGGTTGAGGCTCTGTCGCGACGTCATGTCACGGTTGAATGCACGTGGTTGAACGATCTACCTTATTAACCTGAAGCAACTTACTTTTTTTTTTTCGTCTTGCGGGTACGTACCCGATCTGTGTGTGGGGTGATATGATTGGTTGACACTGCAGCGGCACCGTTTGTTTAGTTCCCGGGAGCTTCCATGGGTTGGGCTGACCAGTGCAAGGCGAGTCTGTAAAATGCGGGGCTGAATATGAGTTTATTATGAGTGTCTAGGGTGAGTGATGACAAGATGTTGAGAATGAGTTTGTGGATGAAGGTATTAGCACGGCATATAGTAGTACGCAAAATGTATTAATTCTGGAGGATAATTCTCGTCTATGAGATCCTCTTTGTATCATGAGTGTCTGGTGGGTTTGTTTGTGCTAAGCGTTACACTTTTTGAACCTACTAACGGTTATCTCGACATTTTACATCAGAAGACTCAGTTCGAAAGATAACATACACTTACCTGGTAGTCTATGATGAATTGTAGCTGACGACTAGAGTTCTTAACATTCACACAATTAAACATACTTGATCAGATATAAGACACTACACATTGATCGTGGCGTCTTAGGTGAGCTGCAGTCGGAGGCCAATCACACCAAGCTGACAGTGCCACAAGGGACGAACAGGGGATTGATAGTGACAAGCAGGTGCATCACGGCAAGACAATAGAAATCGTACATGAATAACGTACAAGAGTATACACAGTGACAATAGCAATACCGTGGGTTATCCGAAACTCCGAAGACTGTGTCACAACTGGTGGCGTATGCTAATGCCCATGCCCTGTCTCCCGTCTACAAGAATTGTGAGGCTCCACAGCAAAGCGACAGGATGAACAGCTGTTACAAACGTACGGACGGAGAGTGGAGAGTGGTGGGTGCAGCAGTTTTCCCTGTATCAAGTGCAACTCTTGCTATTGTTCCCGCGCTTCCGAAAAGATTCAGTAACCCGATCTCGTGCGAGTGAAAGAATGATAGGCCAGGGGGCTCCAAATCATGGGACATCAGCCGATTGTCTCCATGACTAGGCTGGGCCCTGAACATCCATGATATCCTGATCATCCACTATTGTTCATTGTTGTCTGCTTATTGTGTCGCATTGAATAGAACATGCCTTTGGCTAACCTGCATAACAAAAGTCTTGGTGGATCTCTGCCTGCATTGTACCTAGATTAGGTAGGCTAAGGTGCCTAAGTACTATGCAATGCGGGCATTGAGGTGCTTTGCTTATTAGGTATTCACAATGGAAACAGACCCAAATCTGCGGTACCTCAGAGTCAAGCCTCACTCATAGGTATCAAGAGAATCCGGAGTGCTCCTTGCAGAATGCCAAAGCATCGACAGGGGTCACAGAGCCGCGGTGAACGGAAAATCAAGGGTACCGGGCCAATCATTTGACTCGATTGTGTCCTGGAAGTGCCCGAAACGGCTTAGAGTGAAATCGATGGGCGTGGCTGGTGGATTTCCGATGACCAGGGGTGTATAATTTCTGAGGGCATTTAGCAAACTCTACAGCGGCCTGCAGCGCACTTACAGTGGTAGACAGATTAACCCCCGCTTTTATTGGCATGTTTGGCGCATTGGATTCACCCGTTTGGGTGATGCTGCTGGGGGACCGGTATTATTGGGAAAAAAAGGGACTCGAAGTGCTTCTCCGTCTCATTCATTACATTAGAACCTCCTTCATATTCACGACTTCAACCACTCGGCACGCCAGTTGATCACTGCTACTCATAATCAGCTACGTGATACCGAGCTGGCCAATCTCACGGATCAGTCAATTTTTGCTTCAGCTGCTGTATTGTTGGTGCAGTTGCGTGGCACTTGCAGTCACTGCCAGCAGGCAAAAACTTCTGATCTATACGTACCTCACACCTCCAGACCCGGTCTCTCAGATTCAGATTCAGATTCCTCCACTGTCACTTCACTTAGGTTCACTTTCATCCTACGCCCGTAATCATCTTCCTTCTCCTCCAACACAGCGCGCCTTGTTTTTTCATAACCTTTCCCCTTCAACGCACGCGGCTGCTTGTCTCTCTTTGTTCTCCGCGTTTCTGCTACGAACAAGCTCTTTCATCGCGCCAAAAGTCACGTACGGCCTTTGCGCTCTCTCTCATTCATTGCCTTGCTCAAGGACTACCTACCCAGGTACTTCACTCCCCTGTCACTGGCGCGTGGCACATTCTCACACCTTTAACCTCCAGAAAAAGCTGGTACCCGGCCCGCTACTTTGCTTTACTTTACCTTGCTCTACCTCACCTCACCTCACATAACCATACACCACCATTTACCTTTTCTCCTCACCTCTAGCTACATGAACCATTGTACTCATCATGCCTGAGAACGATTCTCCCGCAAGGGAACCTTCCACTCGTGGTCGTGGCCGCGGTGGGAGAGGTCGTGGTGGACGAGGTAGAGGTGGTGGCAGAGGTGGCTCTACAGCCGCTCTATCCAAGGCGGCTACAGCAAAGGCTGGCCGTGGTGGCTCACGACGAGGCCGAGCAAAGAACTTTGCCGATTCGCGCGTACAGGCTGCTTATGAGCGTCAACGGCATCTCAAAGCAAATTATCAGGCTGTTGCTCACGCGCTGAAGCCCGCCCTGCAAGAGCTGGCTGAACGCACCATTGACGATGCTCTTCAAAATCCAGACAAGTATAAACTTGTCCAGGAATTCATACCTGCCATGGAGGAGCTCCAAGCAAACCTCGATGCCAAACTCGCCGAGCACAAGCGTCGTCTGGACAGAGACCTTCAGCTCGCCCAGCATTTGCATGAAGCCGACAATTACGTCGCTGAACAAGAATTCCAGGTATGTCGCTCTCCTCTGACGTGACCCAGTCCCTTACCCGATATTACTATGAGGCTCTTGGCAATTTACTCACACAACCACATCACAGAACGGTCTTGATGAGATTGAAGAACAGTTCTACGAATCACAAGAGAATCGTGCTCGAATTCTTAATTCCTTGTATGACAAGAACCTTCCCGTTGATGTAAGTCAGAGTTTTCCTTATACCTTTCTGTCTGTCTCTACTCTTCCTTTTTTTCACCACCTGGCTTTCCCCAACTTTAATTGATTATCTACCCATTACGGTAATTGGGGGCGCAACAGCTGACACGCACAACGCAGATTGCTGATGATCAGTATGAGTACAAGATCATCAGCGATGAGCATTATGACCAAGAATTTGGAATCTACGAGTGTTACCAAGATGGCCATCTCGTCCCTTATCCTTCTCGTGTTCAAGGCACTTCCATGTGGCGAAAGGGTCGCGAGAACGAAGCGGCTGCTACAGCTGCAGTTACAACCGCAGCCACCGCTTCTTCAAAAGGCCGTGGACGTGGCCGTGGTGTCAACAAACGCAGAGCCCAAGACCAACCAGACGGTCAACCTACTCCCAAGAAGAATACCAGAAGCAACGCTGACGATGGCGCATCTGCTGCTCCCGCTCCTGCTAAGGGTCTTCTCGCTTCCGCTGCTGAAGCCGAGGCCACACCCGAGGCCACGCCAGCTGAGTCGGAATCAGCACCGGGGACTCCAGAGCCTCCCGCTCTTGCTAATGGCATCACTCCCGCAGCTGCTGCTCGGGCTCAAAGTAAATTGCCTGCTCGTGAAAGAAGCCCCCCGTTGCCAAAGAACATGGGCGATGAAGATATATGGGGCTACCGCGTATACAACCAGAAGCCATCTATGCGGGAAAAGGGCATTAATAGTCGTCTTTACTGCCCTAAAACCTTTGAGTTCAATAACTGGGAAATAGGCTTCAGGGACTCCACCAATGACTCCAGCAAGGGCCATACACATGCAAAGCGTGGCAAGTACCTCAACACTCCTAACAGCAACGGCCTTCACGTCGATCATTGGTGTAATGGCTACGACTTTTCAACCACTGTTCCCGAAGATTTTGACCAAGACACGGTCAAGCGCTTCGGTGTGCACCCTAAGTATGGTGTTATCATGAAAGATGCACCTGTTCCCGAGGTAGAGAAGACTCCACACGTCATGCCAGGGAAGCCTGTTGTCTATATTGCCAACCCTTCGGGTCGAATTGCTCATGCCTCACGTTCATTCCTCAAGACTACCAACCACCGTCGTTCGGATGATAATCCGTACCGCGCCAAGATCGGTGCTTCGATGAGACGATTTTGCAAACTTGAAGAGGTCGACCCTGAAGAGATCTCTATATCTGAATATGTTCGTTCTGATGAGGTTTTGCGAAGCAGATCCTTGGGCACTGCCGCCAAGGAGCTTGAAGCTAGACCCGTTGTCAGCCGAGTCGCTTCTGAGTCGCAAGAGCTAGAAAGTGAGGAACAAGAGCCCGAAGGGGAGGACGCTGAAGCCCCTCAACCCGAGACTGGATTCACTAACCTCGCCGTCCTTGCCTATGCTGGTGCTTTTCTTGAGACTGAAGAATCGAACAAGGCTAACAAGGCTCCTAAGCCTGCGCCTAAGCCAGCTCGCTACGACGCTATTCGTGATGTCTTCACTGACTCAAAGCCTGCTCCTGCTCCTACGACCGACACCAGTTCCAGCGTTGGCCTCGATTATCTGGCTGCCTTGAGCAATGCTATAAGCGCTTCCAACGGATCGGCTGCTATCCGAGAGACCGAGCCAGTCTACGACACTGCTCCAGCAACCGAGCTTGCGATGAGCTATGAGCCAGCATCTGTCCCCGAAGCGCCTTCTATGCTTGAGCCGTATGGTACTCAGGAACAACCATCCTACCGTGATACCGCGCCGAATGGCATGGGACCTGGCCCCGTTTCTTCTCATGGAATGCTTGAACATGACCCCCGAAGCTCCGTTTCCCAGACTAACGAGCTTCCGCCTGTCACCCCAAGCCAGGCCCCAATTGATCCTCGATACAATCCCAGCCCTGTTGAGGTTCCCCCAGGGTACATGCACCAGCCCCGCGCGCACATGTCAATGCAACCAAGCGGCCCAGTGCATGGTC